TCTTGGATTGTTCTGTCTCTGCTAAATATCCCTGACCGGCTGTGCTAAAGATGCTCATCTGAGTCCACTTATTTGAATCCGCAAATGCTTTATCAACAACAGCCTGTAGTCATATAGATTCAAATCCCATGCACCATAGTAAGTTATACAACACCATACTTCCAACTGCATATATATGCTTTGGGTTAGGACTGCCAAGTAAACAGAAATGATTACCTGAGCTTCTAAATAGCTCCCAAAATCAGAACCAAGAAAATAGAAGTCTTTACCACCGTCCACAGTATTACATAGAGATTGAAAATAGTCTTTAAAGCCAAAATAGCCATCTCGGACCATCCTACACATAATAAATATCACAGCAGAATTAGAACCTGAGGAAACAGTTCGCTCAGAACATCACACAATGGTCAAAAACGACACCAAACACATGCGCTCTAAAGAATCTGAAAATTCTAGATTGGTCACCTCAATCACTAACTGGCTAAGTGAGTATGATTGAAGTGACTGTAATTGCATACCTTCTAACACGTGCACATTGCAGTGGTATTTTAGGAGATCCTTCCTCACGCAATTTGGGAACTTCATGAATCTTTGCCCTAAACAAAAACTGGAGAAAGCAAATTCTAAGAGAATTATCATTGCTATACTACAAAAAAGTATATACTATATACCAATCTAAAATCTTGAAATAGTGAATACACAGATTCCATCTTGCAGAAGTTACAGCAAAAGAAAATTTCAGTTGGTCGACAATACTTGACATCACAATCAGCTAAGCTCAATACAACTACTTGTGACGCTTTCAGCTAGTGAGTTTTTATGAGAGCAACTCTGATTAAGGACAATACCACAAGAAAATACTTAAATGGGACATATTTCTTGAGAAAAAGTTGCGGCAGAAAAGAGTACAGAAATAATTAAAAAGAAAGAAAATTGACTACATACCATAAAGAAAATTAATTCCTCATTTGCAAGAGCTGCTTTGAATTCATTCTTTTCCAGTTTTTCTTTGATGAAATGTTGTAACCGCATAAAGAAAATTGGCCTGGGCGGTCGTGATTGTACATAATGGTGCAGTCCTCAACAATATAGCATATGCATTCATGGTAAGAAAACCTGCTAAATGAGGTAATACAAGCATCTGTCATGTAATTCTCAGTGTTTTACAACTAATAATTTTGGAGGTAGGAAGAGACAATCCGTTACATGTTTAAGTTTTGCAAAGATTTGTGGCTCTTCAAGATTGAAGTGATATAGTTACACGTGCCTTCAGAGTTCTTGGAAATTAGAAAACCAACCACCAAAATTTGGAAACTATTCTATAAAAGTAAAGAGATAGGCAAATATAAACAACAGCAGACTTAATGGCAGAAAACTATAAAGATGTATCATAGGAGTGGCCTCAGTGTCCTTCTAAGAACATTGAAGAAATATTTTCCTTTTCCAACAGCTGTTACAGACCAATTAACAAAGGACTTTTGATACATACCTGTGAGACCTTTTAAATTCTGCAATGATCAAAATGGCATTATGAAGTTTTCCTCTCAAATGAGGACTAGTATGGTTCAATTCATAATGGCACAAGATAAGACATCATGTGGTTTAGTCTTGTGATCTAGTTTTAATAAACAGGTTGTATTCTCCTCAAAAGTGAGAATATAGCATACATACAGTTGTGGGAATAAAGATGTTTTAAATGATAGCCAAAAAGAAACTTGAGCTTTAACCTTGTTAAAGAACATCAGTTTTTAAGAACTCTATTCATTTAAATCCTCTGCAGTTTGTTTCAAGAATATCATATTGTTTTTTGTTTAAAGAACAGTGACTTATTTGGTTTAGTTTTCAAGTGGTATAAAGTACATACAGTTTGGACACATAAGTATTTCAAAAAGCACTCAAGGTACATGTCAGTTCTCATAATTTTGGTTCAGTTTTCAGTTTTGAAATCTCAAGATATGATGTCTGTTTGGATATCTCGTGTAGAATTTCATGTAAATTTGTATTGAATTTTTGGTGGATTTATAAAGTTGATACAGATGCACATAAACTTTCCTGACAGATTCTGGACTTTGAGTAAAGATTAATGAATGACTCATCTGAAGCTTTTCACATGACCTGTAGCTTTTGCACGATGAACATATATGTGTCTTCTCATAGACTGCAAATTTTCGTGGTTATTGAATATGGATTTTAATTTTGGCAAATTTTTAAGTAACTTTAATTTTGGAAACCATTAGGAATGTTTGGCTAACTGAATTGGTTCAAGATTCTCTTCAGGGTTTCAACATTGAAACAATAGAGAATTTCATGCTCTTAAATAGGAATTAATATGGTTTGTTAATTTCTTTAAAGATTTCTTGTGAATGTAGGACATAATTTGTGGTATTACAGTTGCTAACATCACAGTTTATGCATAAAGTTTTATCCCTTGACCACTGAATGACATTCACAGAAAGAATTTTCTTATTTGATAATTTTTGGGAGTCTTATGTATGCACGAGTTTGTAATAGGCCAGACTTGGCATTTGTCATCAGTGTGTTAAGTAAACCTGCTAAATGAGATTATTAAGGGTAATACAAGCATCTGTCATGTAATTCTCAGTGTTTTACAACTAATAATTTTATAACCAACCACCTAAATTCTCAGTGCCTTCAGAGTTCTTTGAAATTAGAAAACCAACCACCTAAATTTGGAAACTATTCTATAAAAGTAAAGCGATAGGCAAATATAAACAACAGCAGACTTAATGGCAGAAAACTATAAAGATGTATCATAGGAGTGGCCTCAGTGTCCTCCTAAGAACATTGAAGAAATATTTTCCTTTTCCAACAGCTGTTACAGACCAATTAACAAAGGACTTTTGATACATACCTGTGAGACCTTTTAAATTCTGCAAAGACACTCTTGAACTGATGAAAACCTCGATAGAAATAGGATCTGAAGTTAGGCCCAAGCGTCTTCAGCAGAGGGTCATCAGAAAGGTTGTTTATGAACTGCAAAACATCAGATTTGTTGAGTAAATGTGAGATTATATTTTGTAAAAAGCAAAATAGGTCAATTGTCGAAAAGACTTGATGCCGTCAGTGCTGGCGGGATTTAAATTCCCGCGACAGTTCACAGATGATCAGAATATTATATTGACTATATATCAACCTATCTGAAGTTCTGAACTACTACTACGAGTGTGGGATATCCAATATTACCTTCAAGAATGTGCATCTTGTGAATTGTCGTTGAACCCTTCAAGAACGCGCGATAGGCGGCTAGGCGGTCGCTAGGCGGGGGCTGGGCGGCTAGGCGGTCTCTAGGCGGCTAGGCGGGTTGGGTCTTTTTCCGGTGCCGAACCCGGAGGACGAAGCAGCGACCGCGAGAGCAAGTTTCGTCCTTTGCGAGTGCAAGCTTCATGCTCGTCTTGAATATATTTGAAGAGTAGCGCCGCACGGCTATACGCTTAAAATATTCGAATCTATTTAGAGAGTATAGCCGTGCGGCTATAATGTTAAATTTTAAATTATTCGTGTACATTTAAAGCGTATAGCCGCGCGGCTATACGCTTTAAATATACAATTTTGTCATATTATTATAGCCGATCGGCTATACTATTTATAAATTTAAAAGAGGGCCCCACCTAGCGCCGGAGCGCCCACGTGTGAAAACAAGTATAGCCGCGCCGATATACCTTTTTTTTTTCAAAATTCCCGGGTATAGCCGTACGGGCTACACTGTTTTGGAAAATGCGTGAGCAGAGTATAACCATGCGGCTACACTATTTGCTATTAAAGAAATGTCATACTCTTCCTTCAAAATTATAGAAGGCCATATGAGTCCACGAATATGGCAAATCACAAAATTGCACTCTCACCACACACACGTAGGAAACATATGGCTGCACATACGAGCGAGAGAGAGAGCGAGAGAGAGAGAGAGAGAGAGAGAGAGAGAGTGAGAGGGGAGTTTTATGCAAAGTATGAGAGGGTCGGGAGGAGGGATGGTGATGCGCTGGGTTTTGGGTGTGCGGAGGAGGCTGCTGCGCAGTAAGGGTTTAAAGATGTTAGAAGGGGCGGCAAGAAATGAGAAGAAAATCTGTAAACACATATTAATTATCTCTCTCTCTCTCTCTCTCATTGCAGGTGTATATACTCGTAGCAGATGAAAAGCAGAGGCTTCTAGATTACGAAAAATCCATACTCTGCATTACGAAAAATTGGCCTAGGCAGCCTGGGCGGGTCTGGGCGACGCTAGAAGGGTCTGGGCGGTGCTAGGCGGAGCTAGGCGGATCTAGGCGGGTCTAGGCGGCGCTAGGCGGGTCTAGGAGGCGCTAGGCGGATCTGGTTGCCAGGGTGGGTCTGGTTCTGTTCTTTTGTTCTTTAAGCCCATTATCAAGCATACGATCATATCTAAAGGAGCCTATTACTCCCAGGTTTCACGTTCTTTTCATTTTGTTGGATTCTCTTCTTATGACTAAACATAATTGATCTGCTAGGCTGCTAGGCGGTAGCTAGGCGGGCGCCTAGGCGGGTTGGGTCTTTTTTCGTTGCCGAACCCGGAGGACGAAGCAGCCGAAACCAAAGAAAACAAATCGAAATGTTTGGCTAACTGAATTGGTTCAAGATTCTCTTCAGGGTTTCAACATTGAAACAATAGAGAATTTCATGCTCTTAAATAGGAATTAATATGGTTTGTTAATTTCTGTTAGAGTTTTAGGATCTTAGAATATGATTTGGAGAGAAGAGAGAAAAAAAGTCTGATGAAATCCAAAACTGCTCTGCTATACGTGTAGCAGAGAGAGCATTCTCATTACTCAGTGTTCAGTACAATATATCACACTCTTGGTGTGAGAAGAATATAATCGTTAGCACAGTACCAGCTGGATGCAATTCATCTAAGCAATCTCAGCCATTCACTATCTAACCAATCAAGCTATGACACCTGGACTAAGTATAAAGAAATATAACTAAGCTGAAAACAAAACTCCCAATCCTGAAATCAACTTAAGCACTTATAATTCAACACTCCCCTTTAAGTCTTGAGGTGATTTCACTCCAAGCATGCCTCTGAGATAATTGAATCTGTCTTTGGCCAGAGGTTTGGTAAAAATGTCAGCCAATTGTTCATTTGTAGGACAGTATTCCAAATTGATTACTCCTTCTTGCAATGCATCCTTGATGAAGTGATACCTTCTGTCAATATGCTTTGTCTTCTGGTGGAATACAGGGTTTTTAGTGATTGCAATTGCTGATATATTATCACAATGCAATGGAGTAGCTTCAGTTTGAAGCTCTCCAAAGTCTTCTAGCACAAAACGGAGCCAAATAGCTTGAGTAGTAGCCTCAGCTGCACTGATATACTCAGCTTCAGCAGTAGACAGTGCAACACAGTTCTGTTTTACTGAGGCCCAAGAAAATACTCCACTTCCAAAACTAAAAGCATACCCTGATGTGCTCTTGCAATCACCAACTGATCCTCCCCAATCACTGTCACAGTAACCAACTAGAATTGATCTTTTGCCTTTCACATATTCAAGACCATAGTCCAGAGTTCCTTTGATGTATCTCAAAACTCTTTTAGCTGTTCCATAGTGTCTATTTGTAGGACAGTGCATGAATCTAGCTAGCAAGCTTGAGGCATACATAATGTCTGGTCTTGTAGCAGTTAAGTACAATAAGCTACCAACAATGCTTCTGTATTGTTCTTCATTTGCAGCTCCACTCCCATCATCCTTAGCTAGTTTCTCAGTGGCAACAAGAGGTGTTGTCACAGATTTGCACTCAGTCAAACCAAACTTGCTCAACAAGGTGCTAGCATATTTCTTTTGATGTAGAAATATACTAGACACAGTCTGCACAACTCCCATGCCAAGGAAATGGTGAAGTAAACCCAAATCAGTCATCTCATACTTAGCCATCATGTCTTCTTTGAATTCAGCCAACAATGCTTGACTGCTCCCTGTGTACACTATGTCATCTACATAGATAGACACAATTAGAATCTCCTTATCTCCCCTCACTTTGGTATACAAAGTTGCTTCACTTAAGCTTTTTACAAAACCACAGTGAGTGAAGTAGCTGTCTATCTCTCCATACCAAGCCCTTGGGGCTTGCTTCAGACCATAAAGAGCTTTATGCAGACGATAAACCTTGTCTTCTTTGCCTTTAATTACAAAACCTTCAGGCTGACTGACATAAACTTCCTCTTGCAGCACACCATTAAGGAAAGCAGACTTCACATCAAGCTGGAACAATTTCCAATCCTTTTGAGCAGCTAGAGCAACAAGAGTTCTAATGGTGTCCAATCTGGCTACAGGTGCATAAGTCTCATTATAATCCAGTCCAGGCTTCTGAGCATACCCCTTAGCCACTAATCTTGCTTTATTCTTTTGCACAGAGCCATCCAAATTCAGCTTTGTCTTGTACACCCACTTAACTCCAATCACTGGTTTTTCAGTTGGTCTATTTACCAATTCCCATGTTTCATTTTTTTCAATCATCTGCAGTTCATCTTCCATAGCCTTAAGCCAAGATTCATCCTGAGCAGCATCAGCATATTTTTCTGGTTCCATGATACACAAGTTACACTGAGCTAGAACATCATCTAGCCTTCTCCATTTTAGAGGGGTGTGATCATAAGCTTGGGTTCTCCTTTCTTCACTGCTTATATCACCTGGAGTTGATGAAGTGCTCTCTTGCATATCCAAAGTTTGAGGTGTACCAGTAGAGTTCTCATTAGAACTGTCAGTTTTCAAATCCAAGTCTACTTGGTCTTCAATTGAGTATGATGTCATAACTGAACCATCTTTGTCTGTCCAATGCCAAGCTTTTTCTTCATCAAATGTCACATCCCTTGACAGTAAAAGCTTGTTAGAAATAGGATCAAAAACTCTATATCCTTTTTCACAAGTTGCATATCCCACAAACACTCCCTTTGTACTCTTAGGTTCCAGCTTGTGTCTCAATTCAGTTGGCACATGAACATAACACAAAGAACCAAACACCTTCAAGTGTGCAATTCCAGGCTTCCTTCCACTATATGTTTCGAATGGAGTAATGTTGTTGAGAGCTTTGGTAGGACATCTGTTCAGCAAATAGACAGCTGTATGGACAGCTTCTGTCCATAGGAAATAGGGCATTCCCTTCTCATGTAACATTGATTTTGCCATCTCAATGACAGTTCTATTCTTCCTCTCAAACTACTCCATTCTGCTGAGGAGTATAGGCCATTGTAAGCTGCCTTTGAATGCCATTAGCTTCACAGAACTCCAAAAAATCAGTAGACAGAAACTCTCCACCCCTGTCACTTCTTATGCATTGCACCTTGTGTCCAGTTTGTAATTCAGTCATGGACTTGAACTTCTTGAAACAATAGAAGGCTTCTGACTTGTTTCTCAAGAAATATACCCAAGTCATTCTTGTGAAATCATCTATAATCAGCATGAAATATCTGTTCCTTGCAACAGACTCATTTCTCATGGGACCACAGAGATCCACATGTACTAGCTCTAGTACTTTGCTTGCTCTTTGTGCTTGATCTTTTGGAAAAACATTTCTGTGCTGTTTTCCAAATTGGCACCCTTCACACACACCACTTTGTTCTTCCAATTGTGGTAAACCATGTACCATTTCTTTATCCCTTAGCTGCTTCAATCCTCCAAAATTCAGATGACCAAGTCTCTTGTGCCAAATCCATGGGGATTGAAGAAAACTAGTCTTCATTAGTAACTGTTTTTCAGCTAGAAAAGAGACAGGATAGCATCTGTTACTCTTCATTTCCACCTTTGTGATGAGGTAATCCATGGATGGACTATCAAATACCCTGCACATTCCTTCTCCAAACACCAGACAATACCCATGTTCATCCATCTGCCCAACACTTAGCAGATTTTCTTTCAATCCTGGCAGGTACATAACTTCTCTGATGTATTTCCTGCCCTTTGCTGTATCAATACTCAGTGAACCAATACCAGCTACACTCACTAGTGCACCAGTTGGCATTTGTACTTTCCCAGCTACATTAGTTCTCACATCAGCCAGTAATTCTAAATTCCTGTCATATGATTGCTGCAGCCACTGTCAATATACCATTCATTTGCTTTGATCTCAGTGGTTGAGCAATTTGCATAAAACAGATTTCCTGTTACCTCCATTTGATTTACACAATTAGCCTTCTGCACATTTTTGCTCACTGTACAGTCCCTAGCAAGATGTCCAAATCTGTCACAGTTATAGCATTTTGGTTTTCCTTATACCTGCACTCACCAAAGTGATGCTTTGAACACACCTTGCATTGAGGCTTTGTGTTTTCCTGATTTGAGAACTGAGTTGAAGTGTGGTTCTGTGCAGAATAATTATTCTGCTGTGACTTGTCTTTTGCCTCCCATGACTTCCCTTTAGAATTCCAGCTTTTCTGTGACTTAGATGAACCAGACTGAGAAGTGTTTTTGTTCTGACCCTTTGCACTCACAGTGAATGAGGCAAATGCCTTCTCAGCTGTATCAACACTATGCATTTCAAGCCGTTGCTCCTGACTCTTCAAAATTGCAATTACTTCCTGCAAATCCACAGTTTCTAGTGTCTTTGTGTTTTCAATCACAATGCATATAGGATCATACTTCTTACTTAGACTAATTAACACCTTCTGAACCTGCCTCTCATTTGACAGAACTTCACCAAATGTTTTCATTTGGTTAATCAATTCAGTTAGTCTAGTAAGATATTCAGATAAGGTTTCACTATCACGCATCCTAGTGTATTCAAATTCACGTCTAAGATTTTGAAGCTTTACCGATCTAACATGCTCTCCACCATGATATTCTGAATATAGCAGATTCCAAGCCATCTTTGCAGAGTCAGCATTTGCAATTCTGGGAAAAATCTGATCAGAAACAGCATTTTGAATGATACCCAAGGCCTTCGCATCCTTCATGAGAATCGCAGCTGTTTTCTCATCAACTTCTTCTTCTGAACCATCCTCAGATTTCTGCTTCGTCTTTGAATCTGGGATTAGGAACCCCTTCTCTACCAAACCCCATAAACCATATGATCTGAAAATGGTTACCATTTTAATCCTCCAAAATTCATAGTTCTCACCTGAGAAAATGGGGATTCTAGCCTCCGAACTTCCAGATCCAGCCATTACGTATTTCAGAATCACCTGGAAACAAGATGTTTTCAGATTCGACCCTTGATCAAACTCAGTCAGCTTCGTGAGCTTAGAATGAGCACACCTTGATCGATTTTCTTCACAGAACAACGCCCAGCTTTTGGATGATGAAACCTGGCTCTGAGGCCATGTTAGAGTTTTAGGATCTTAGAATATGATTTGGAGAGAAGAGAGAAAAAAAGTCTGATGAAATCCAAAACTGCTCTGCTATACGTGTAGCAGAGAGAGCATTCTCATTACTCAGTGTTCAGTACAATATATCACACTCTTGGTGTGAGAAGAATATAATCGTTAGCACAGTACCAGCTGGATGCAATTCATCTAAGCAATCTCAGCCATTCACTATCTAACCAATCAAGCTATGACACCTGGACTAAGTATAAAGAAATATAACTAAGCTGAAAACAAAACTCCCAATCCTGAAATCAACTTAAGCACTTATAATTCAACAATTTCTTTAAAGATTTCTTGTGAATGTAGGACATAATTAGTGGTATTACAGTTGCTAACATCACAGTTTATGCATAAAGTTTTATCCCTTGACCACTGAATGATATTCACAGAAAGAATTTTCTTATTTGATAATTTTTGGGAGTCTTATGTATGCAAGAGTTTGTAATAGGCCAGACTTGGCATTTGTCATCAGTGTGTTAAGTAAATTCCGGTCCAATGTTGGAAACGCTCATTGGAATGCAGTAAAGAGAGTGTTTTAGGTATCTGTAAAAGGCGAAGAGTAACATGCTGGTTTAAAAGAGAACTAAAGATTTTTGCAGGATGTCCTGAAGTACGTCGACCTCTAGTAATGTATTCTTGTTGGATGAAGGGGCAGTTTATTGAAAGGAGTCAAGGAAGCAACAGTTGCAGTTTTATTGTAATAATACAAGAGCAGTTTTATTCTAAAGAAATAATAAAAGATCTGTAGGTACCAAGCATTTTCTTGATGGTTAAAGAAAAGATCAAGGAGAGGCATCTCAAGATAGATTACAAAGATACAAAGTCTATGGTTACATATCCACTTAATAAAGCTGTGCCAGTAGATGTTTTAAGAGCCATGTTGAAAGGATGAGGATCTTGGCAAGCATTCACTCCACAGACTAGCGGGAGAAACAATTCTATACTTGACTTCGTCCAGGATTTCTTATCTCCGCGTTTAAGATTGAATTTGGTTTAAATGTACATCAAGTATTTCAGTTTGTTTGATAAATATTATAGATAATCATTGAGTATGGTTAATTTATTAAGGAACCAAGATTATCAAAACTGAAGAAATGACTAGAAATAGTCTTAAGAGGACCTCTGGATGTTTCATTATAATTTCAAGTATATTTTACACAATTCAGATTTATATGAAACTTGATTAGTTCAGATCTTGATGGCGTTCCATGTAGATGAAAGATTTGTGTACATGATCTTGGGGAATGTTTTTAAGTTTAAATGAACATTACTCCCTCTGGTCTTGCATAAATACTTTCATCTGACAGGAATTTGATTATAGGACTTTGTTGTTGTGAACTCATGGTCATACAGTACAACTGCGTTTGAGCTATAGATTGACTGTTAGCCCTAGTGGGAGACCGGAAGCATAAATAAGGGCTTTACACTCATCCTAGTGGATTACAACTCAAATGCAGAAGTAGAGTCCATTTACAGTTCACCTTGTTGCTCATACCGGTGCTGATACAAGAACAAATTTAAAAGCTTAAATGAATTAGATTTTTCACTTGAGGTGGTGTAATACTTCAATTTTTTTTTTAGCCATACACTGTATATAAAGACAGGCCCCAACCTGTGTGCCACGTGTCAAACAAGTACATCCCACCGGCTATACCATCTTTGTTTAAAAAAATTTTAAAAATGAGTATAGCCGCACGGCTATACTATTTTTTATTTTTTTAAAATGCCACGTGTTGAAAAATTACAGCCGACCGGCTATACTACAACACAAGACTAAAGAATATGGAGAGGGAGTGAGAGAGAGAGAGAGAGAGAGAGAGAGAGGCTGGATTATTCTCTGGCTTTTCAAACTCGCTTCCATTGATGGCAAATCCAAAGCATTGCTCTCATCCAATGATACGCAGGGCTTGCATGTCTCATTGCTTGAATATTGAGATCAACTCCGTCATTGTATTCTCAATTCAATCATTGCGTACACATCACATAACGTATTTATGCTATACTTGAAAGATGGCTAGTACCTTCAGATGGATCGGTAGTAGCATTTTGAGCCATGGACACATGAAACCAGAAGCAGTTGAGAAAGCATAGATGCAAAAGGAGACAAAGGATGCTGAAAGAGGCCATTGTTGTTTCAGACTTTCAGTCAATCACAGTGTTCGAAAAATCGGCCTAGGCGAGCGGCTAGGTGGCTATGCAGTCGCTAGGCAGGCTCCAGGCACCTAGGCTGTCGCTAGGAAGGCGCGAGGTGGCTAGGCGGTTGCTAGGAGGGAGCTAGGTGGGCGCAAGGCCGCTAGGCGGTGGCTAGGGGGAGCGAGGATGCTAGGAGGTAGCTAGTCGGGCGCCTAGGTGGGTTGTGTCTTTTTTCGTTGCCGAACCCAGAGGACGAAGCAGCCGAAACCAAAGACAACAAATTGAAGCTTGAGTTGATAGAGAAGCGAAATGGCTTGACTGCGAGTGCAAGCTTTGTGTTAAGAGTATAGCCGCTCGGCTATACTTTTAAAATATTCAAATGTCTTTGAATCGGCAATAAAGAAACAAGGCCTTATTGGATATTTTGGACGACAAAATGTCAAATTGTTAAGGATGATGAATTGTCGAGCAGTTTGATGATGTGGAAACTAAGCCCCACTAACGTCATCATAGAATTGATTTAACAGTTGCATATCACCAAGACTGCCACAATTAGACTTTGTGCCTTCCTCAAATGCAGGTGCATAACCCTGATTTTACACATGAAGAAAAAGATCAGATGAATGAAATTCCGTATCTATTAAAGTTCAGGCAATTACTCGTAGAGAGATACCTCCATTTTCTAAAACCTACCAAGATTTTTAACTAGGAACTACATTGCAAAATCATTATAAAATGACAAAAAAAACTTTGAACCATATAACTGCCCAATTAGTTAACTGATCATTCTCGTAAACCACTAGATTGATTTTCAGATATCACAGTTTCAAAGATTATTCTTTTAAAACTTTGAACCATATAACTGTCTTAATCCATGCTTAATAATAATATACCATCTTCCAAAGATTATTCTTTTATGTATTAAGTTCTGTCCTGGAGTAGTTTGTGTGCTTGGATATACCTGTATTTCATTAAACAGGAATTTGGTGTCTACACACTAACCAGACATTAAGAAAACAAAAAATATATTGAACAAGTAACATGATTTGACAGTCGAAATTTAACGTGTCATTAGATTTGATTGGCTTTTAGTCACTTGTAGTCGTTGCCTCAGTGAACGGGATGCCCGGGTATAGCCGAACCACTACACTGTTTTGAAAATGTACAAGCAGAGTATAGCCATGCGGCTGCACTGTTCGCTATAAAAGAAACGTCGAACTCTTCCTTCAAAATTATAAAAGGCCATATGAGTCCACGAATATGTGGCAAATCACAAAATTGCACTCTCCCACACACACGTAGGAAACACATGGCTGCACATACGAGAGAGAGAGAGAGAGAGAGAGTGGAGTTTTATGCAAAGTGTGAGAGGGTGGGGAGGGATGGTGATGCGATGGGTTCGGGAGTCTGCATTACGAAAAATCAGCCTAGGCGCCCTGGGAGGGTCTGGGCGGCGCTAGACTGGTCTGGGCTACGCTAGGCGGGGCTAGGCATCGCTAGGCGGGGCTAGGCGGGGCTAGGCGGCTCTAGGCGGCTCTAGGCGGGGCTAGGCGGCTCTAGGCGGCTCTAGGCGTCGCTAGGCGGCTCTAGGCGGCTCTAGGCGGATCTGCGTGCCAGGGTGGGTCTGGTTCTGTTCTTTTGTTCTTGAAGCCCATTATCAAGCATACGAGCATATCTAAAGGAGCCTATTACTCCCAGGTTTCATTTTGTTGGATTGTCTTCTTATGACTAAACATAATTGATCTGCTAGGTGCACTTTCTGCTTTTGATAATTAAGTTTTGGTTATTAATGAATCTGGAAATTCTGATATCCTTTAATGCAACTCTAGTAAAAGGAATATATAGTATACAACCAGAAAAACGTACAAGGAAAAGTCTTAAACTGTTAGGGCTGTGCATCTAAAATAATTGATTTCAGAAAAACTATCAGGAATAGAAATGAAGCTGTCTAACAGGGTGTATAAATGAATTGGCTTGATTCTAAAGATTGAAGTAGCATATAGCTTTGTTTTTTTGGGTGTTGTAGCAAGAGCATAATTTCATCACTAAAGAAAATAAAATATGAGATGAGCACCTACATGCCATCAAAGTTAAATTTCCCTACAGATTTAACAACAGCAGACTTAATGGCAGAAAATGATAAAGATGTATCATAGGAGTGGCCTCAGTGTCCTCCTAAGAACATTGAAGAAATATTTTCCTTTTCCAACAGCTGTTACAGACCAATTAACAAAGGGCTTTTGATACATACCTGTGAGACCTTTTAAATTCTGCAATGATCAAAATGGCATTATGAAGTTTTCCTCTCAAATGAGGACTAGTATGGTTCAATTCATAATGGCACAAGATAAGACATCATGTGGTTTAGTCTTGTGATCTAGTTTTAATAAACAGGTTGTATTCTCCTCAAAAGTGAGAATATAGCGTACATACAGTTGTGGGAATAAAGATGTTTTAAATGATAGCCTAAAAGAAACTTGAGCTTTAACCTTGTTAAAGAACATCAGTTTTTAAGAACTCTATTCATTTAAATCCTCTGCAGTTTGTTTCAAGAATATCATATTGTTTTTTGTTTAAAGAACAGTGACTTATTTGGTTTAGTTTTCAAGTGGTATAAAGTACATACGGTTTGGACACATAAGTATTTCAAAGCACTCAAGTACATGTCAGTTCTCATAATTTTGGTTCAGTTTTCAGTTTTGAAATCTCAAGATATGATGTCTGTTTGGATATCTCTTGTGTAGAATTTCATGTAAATTTGTATTGAATTTTTGGTGGATTTATAAAGTTGATACAGATGCACATAAACTTTCCTGACAGATTCTGGACTATGAGTAAAGATTAATGAATGACTCATCTGAAGCTTTTCACATGACCTGTAGCTTTTGCACGATGAACGTATATGTGTCTTCTCATAGACTGCAAATTTTCGTGGTTATTGAATATGGATTTTAATTTTGGCAAATTTTTAAGTAACCTTTGTTCTGGAAAAGTTTTGTGCTGGCAGGTTTTATGAAGTTAAGTTTTTAGGTTATTTTAGACCATTAAATAGACATAAAAAGACTCTAAATTTCTTCTATGTGAAGCTTTATGTCTCTAGTTTGATTCTAAGTAATTTGAGGTTAGTCAAACTAATAAAGAATTGTGTGAATTATTTAAAGCGGTACATCTTAAAAGTCGTATGATATTATCTTATCAACGTATACTAATTAATAACTATCATGTTTTAAAGTTATAAGGTTTTGGTGTATTCATTTCAAGAGTAACCAAGTAGTGAGTGTTTTGTCCAAGTGGGAGAAATGATGTATGGTTTTTGGACTTCACACTCACTGCCCTATTTTACAAGCTCATTAAGTTTCATTCACCAAAAGTTTTTCAAGTTGAGCCACTGCCCTAGTTTGTAAGATCATAAAGTTTTACTCACCAGAAGGTTGAGATATAGCCTAAAGTTAATTACAGCACATTTCGCATGCTCGTGAAGTTTTATTTACAACAGTTTTCCACTGTTTTGTTTTGGTTTTCTAGCTATTTAGTTGAAATTTAAAGTATGCATCAAATTAAGAAATTCGAAGTGAAGCCATAGGCTGAGGTTAATTGCAGTTTTGAGTTATTTTGGTTTTGGTATATTTTACAGTATTAATATGGTTAAGATTATTTTTTTGTATGAACATATAGAACAAGTATGTCTAGTTAACATGTTCATATTTTTCATAAAGGAACTTGAAGGTATTAAAAATTAAAGTTAATATGGATGTCCTAAGGTTGTGATCGTTACTAAGCTTTCAGACATGATTTTATGCTTGTAAAAGAAAAGATAAAAGAAGAGAAAGTTACATTACTATTAAGGCCATGATATGGGAGCTCGGTTTCTTATTTTTTTGGTATCTTATATATATAACTTACAATTCTTCTAATGCCATAAGGATTGTTTCTGGTTTGCTTAAAGGATTTGAAGGATAAAGGAATTTTAATAAGAAACTTTAATTTTGGAAACCATTAGGAATGTTTGGCTAACTGAATTGGTTCAAGATTCTCTTCAGGGTTTCAACATTGAAACAATAGAGAATTTCATGCTTTTAAATAGGAATTAATATGGTTTGTTAATTTCTTTAAAGATTTCTTGTGAATGTAGGACATAATTTGTGGTATTACAGTTGCTAACATCACAGTTTATGCATAAAGTTTTATCCCTTGACCACTGAATGACATTCACAGAAAGAATTTTCTTATTTGATAATTTTTTGGGAGTCTTATGTATGCACGAGTTTGTAATAGGCCAGACTTGGCATTTGTCATCAGTGTGTTAAGTAAATTCCGGTCCAATGTTGGAAACGCTCATTGGAATGCAGTAAAGAAAGTGTTTTAGGTATCTGTAAAAGGCAAAGAGTAACATGCTGGTTTAAAAGAGAACTAAAGATTTTTGCAGGATGTCCTGAAGTACGTCGACCTCTAGTAATGTATTCTTGTTGGATGAAGGGGCAGTTTATTGAAAGGAGTCAAGGAAGCAACAGTTGCAGTTTTATTGTAATAATACAAGAGCAGTTTTATTCTAAAGAAACAATAAAAGATCTGTAGGTACCAAGCATTTTCTTGATGGTTAAAGAAAAGATCAAGGAGAGGCATCTCAAGATAGATTACAAAGATACAAAGTCTATGGTTACATATCCACTTAATAAAGCTGTGCCAGTAGATGTTTTAAGAGCCATGTTGAAAGGATGAGGATCTTGGCAAGCATTCATTCAACAAACTTGATTAGTTCATATCTTGATGGCGTTCCATGTAGATGAAAGATTTGTGTACATGATCTTGGGGAATGTTTTTAAGTTTAAATGAACATTACTCCCTCTGGTCTTGCATAAATACTTTCATCTGACAGGAATTTGATTATAGGACTTTGTTGTTGTGAACTCATGGCCATACAATATAACTGCGTTTGAGCTATAGATTGACTGTTAGCCCTAGTGAGAGACCGTAAGCATAAATAAGGGCTTTACACTCATCCTAGTGGATTACAACTCAAATACAGAAGTAGAGTCCATTTACAATTCACCTTGTTGCTCATACAGGTGCTGATACAAGAACAAATTTAAAAGCTTAAATGAATTAGATTTTTCACTTGAGGTGGTGTAATATTTTAATATTTTTTTTCTGTTCTTTGGTGGGTTGGTTTTGTGTTCCTATGTGCAAGAGGAGGAGGAGACATCTTTTTTTTTTTTTTTTTTTTTTTTCTCAGCAAACAAGAGGGCATGATCAAATGTCAAAATCTATAACAGAAATGCAATGTCCAAAGAATGAAGAGCAGTCCAACCAAGAAGAACCATCAATGGATGAATATTGAATGCATAAAGAGTAATCAAGTTTCATGCGGAGTTGGCAGAGGGGAGGAATTGTCATCGTTGTCGTTGGTGTGGTGAGGTGAACATGTCGTTTGAGAGAGAGCCAAGAGAGTAGAATAAGGTGGGAAGCATGGAGAGGAATGGAATTAGAGGCATGAGATCTCTTCTTCTACGGAACTGACTTGTGCTTCCCAATTTCAATCTCAAGCTCAAATTTGCAGCAAAAATTTTTCAATTTCGGGTTTCAGACTTTCAATCAATCGCAGTGTTTGAAAAATCGGCCTAGGCGGCTAGGCGGGTTGGCTCATTTTTTGGTACCAAACCTAGAGGACGAAGCAGCCAAAACCGAGGAAAACAAATCGAAGGTTGAGTTGATAGAGAGGCGAAATGGCTGTGACTGCAAGTGCAAGCTTAGTGTTCATGTTGAATATATTGAAAGCGTATAGCCACGCGGCTATACGTTTAGAATATTCGAATATACTAATATTTAAAGGGAGTAGCCGAACGGCTATACACGGCAGCTATACTCTTTAACTATACAATTTTTTCATATCATTTAAGGGTTTAGGGCTAAAATACCACTTTAGCCCATTGGGCTACAGTTATTTCTTCAATTATTTTATTTATACAAGCGACGTTGGGGAATGAGAATTTAAATTCTTTCCGATACATTCCATTCAAATATGTAAAATGTTGCTACTGGGGTGTGGATGAGGGTGAGGGTGAGCTAGCCATCAGAAGGGAATCTGCACGGTTCAATTCCCCAAGTCTTCTCCGCGTAGTCTTGGATTGTTCTGTCGCTGCTAAATATCCCTGATCCGGCTGTGCTAAGGATGCTCATCTGAGTCCACTTATTTGAATCCGCAAATGCTTTATCAACAACAGCCTGTAGTCATATAGATTCAAATCCCATGCACCATAGTAAGTTAACACCATACTTCCAACTGCATATATATGCTTTGGGTTAGGACTGCCAAGTAAACAGAAATGATTACCTGAGCCTCTAAATAGCTCTCAAAATCAGAACCAAGAAAATAGAAGTCTTTACCACCGTCCACAGTATTACATAGAGATTGAAAATAGTCTTTAAAGCCAAAATAGCCATCTCGGACCATCCTACACATAATAAATATCACAGCAGAATTAGAACCTGAGGAAACAGTTTGCTCAGAACATCACACAATGGTCAAAAACGACACCAAACACATGCCCTCTAAAGAATCTGAAAATTCTAAACTGGTCACCCCAATCACAAACTGGCTAAGTGAGTATGATTCAAGTGACTGTAATTGCGTACCTTATAACACGTGCACATTGCAGTGGTATTTTAGGAGATCCTTCCTCACGCAATTTGGGAACTTCATGAATCTTTGCCCTAAACAAAAACTGGAGAAAGCAAATTCTAAGAGAATTATCATTGCTATACTACAAAAAAGTATATACTATATACCAATCTAAAATCTTGAAATAGTGAATACACAGATTCCATCTTGCAGAAGTTACAGCAAAAGAAAATTTCAGTTGGTCGACAATACTTGACATCACAATCAGCTAAGCTCAATACAACTACTTGTGACGCTTTCAGCTAGTGAGTTTTGATGAGAGCAACTCTGATTAAGGACAATACCACAAGAAAATACTTAAATAGGACATATTTCTTGAGAAAAAGTTGCGGCAGAAAAGAGTACATAAATAATTAAAAAGAAAGAAAATTGACTACAAACCATAAAGAAAACTAATTCCTCATTTGCAAGAGCTGCTTTGAATTCATTCTTTTCCAGTTTTTCTTTGATGAAATGTTGTAACAGCATAAAGAAAATTGGCCTGGGCGGTCGTGATTGTACATAATGGTGCAGTCCTCAACAATATAGTATATGCATTCATGGTTAGAAAACCTGCTAAATGAGATTATTTAGGGTAATACAAGCATCTGTCATGTAATTCTCAGTGTTTTACAACTAACATTTGGAGGTAGGAAGAGACAATCCGTTACATGTTTAAGTTTTGCAAAGATTTGTGGCTCAACATCTTCAAGATTGAAGTGATATAGTTACACGTGCCTTCAGAGTTCTTGAAAATTAGAAAACCAACCACCAAAATTTGGAAACTACTCTATAAAAGTAAAGAGATATGCAGATATAAACAACAGCAGACTTAATGGGAGAAAACTATAAAGATGTATCATAGGAGTGGCCTCAGTGTCCTCCTAAGAACATTGAAGAAATATTTTCCTTTTCCAACACCTGTTACGGACCAATTAGCGAAGGACTTTTGATACATACCTCATGGTGAGAGCTTTTAAATTCTGCAAAGACCCTCTTGAACTGATGAAAAGCTCGATAGAAATAGGATCTGAAGTTAGGCCCAAGCGTCTTCAGCAGAGGGTCATCAGAAAGGTTGTTTATGAACTGCAAAACATCAGATTTGTTGAGTAAATGTGAGATTATATTTTGTAAAAAGCAAAATAGGTCAATTGTCGAAAAGATCAGATTTAAAATCCCGCGACAGTTCACAGATGGTCAGAATATTATATTGACTATATATCAACCTATCTGAAGTTCTGAACTACTACAACGAGTGTGGGATATCCAATATTACCTTCAAGAAGAATGTGCATCTTGTGAATTGTCGTTGAACCCTTCAAGAACGCGCGCTAGGCGGCTAGGCGGTCGTTAGGCGGCTAGGCGGTCGCTAGGCGGCTAGGCGGCTAGGCAGTCACTAGGCGGGCGCTGGGCGGCTAGGCGGTCTCTAGGCGGCTAGGCGGGTTGGGTCTTTTTCCGGTGCCGAACCCGGAGGACGAAGCAGCGACTGCGAGAGCAAGTTCCCTCCTTTGCGAGTGCAAGCTTCATGCTCGTCTTGAATATATTTGAAGAGTAGTGCCGCACGGCTATACACTTAAAATGTTCGAATCTTTTGGCTATACTGTACGCTTTAAATATACAATTTTGTCATATTATTTTAGGGTTAAAGGACAAAAAAAAAAAAAAAACATAAAAAAAAGAAAGCTCCAACTGCACATCATATCTCATTGAAAAATCAACAAAGTACTGTCCAACAACTTCTTAAATTACCGTGACAAGAAGATGAACTAGGTATGCACAATGCTGGAGGATGGTGATAGCTCCCTTTAGAAGGTATAAGGTAGTTATTTGTTAATAAGTTATAAAAATATGGAATGCAAAGTTTTTCACCATATAAAATCAAATTCACCTCGATTCATTCATATCGATGGATAATGCCAAGTATATTAAGTAGCTGCCTTTCGTACTCATGTATTCACTTTGTGTGCACATCAAACATTGCATGTAAACTAACCTACAGTTGAAACTGATAAATTTCAGTGTAATCTATTAGACATACCGTCAAGACAAAAGAAGAAAGATGAACAGGATAGAAGTTCTAAGAACTTGTGACCAAACCTTCAAACCACTCATTGCTTCAATGTACTTAGCGAGCCTCATTTTGTTAACCTTCTTGACCTACAACATGAGCATATATACAACATATTTAAAGTTGATTTTGAATTCTAAAATATTTGGTACATATTTTGAAATACTCATTAAGATAAAAAAAATATATAAAAAAACCAACAATCCCCCACATATTTCAAAATATGGAAAGTCCCAAGGAAAAGTGAAATTCAATGCATCAAGACTGGTGTCTTTTGGACTATGAACCAACCTTAGGAAAGATAGTCATGATCCACAAAAATTTGATGCAAATAAATTTTCTATGAACCAAGATTTCTGTATGTGAATAAGAGGACTAAGTCCCCACATTAAATTTCTGATTCAAGTTTGTTCAAGCGGGTTTGCACGAATAGGCCCTGTGCCCTACTTGGATATTCATGAGTGCTCTAGAGAGCATGTCTAAACTCTCATAGGAAGCGGCCCCACTTCCACACTCATATAGGTGAATCCATCAAGAGTGCACTGCAATCAAGCAACCCACCCATAAGGGCTATGGTGTTCATTAAGAACATAAGTTCAGCCTTAAGCGTTGCAGTATTGCACTATCTACACCATAGGGAGGGATTCTCAAGAACATAAATTGATAGTGCACACCCAATCACCCAGTGACTTGTTCTTACCCATATGGACCTACTCCCTGGGATCTCCATTCACATTGGTTGGGTTACCATCACTGTTGACTGTTGATATAGATATAAGTCCCATCCCCCTCAATGTATTACTCACTAGTTTTCGACATAGTGATTTTGTCAAAGGATCAGCCAAGTTCAGCTCTGACCTAACAAATTGTAGGGATATCACCCCTATCTCAAGCAGCTGCCTCACAATGTTATGTCTTAGGCATATATGCCTATTTTTCCCATTATAAGTTTTGTTCTGAGCTCGAGCCATTGCAGCCTAGCTATCACAATGCATAAACACAGACGGAGCTGGTCTTTTCCATAAAGGGATATCTGCTAAGAGGTTTCTAAGCCACTCAGCCTCTGTGCCCGCCTTTTCTAAGGCAATGAACTCTGATTCCATAGTAGATAAAGCTATACATGTTTGTTTAGAAGATTTCCAAGACACTGCACCTCCACCAATTGTAAACACATACCCACCTGTGGATTTCATCTCATCTGAATCAGATATCCAATTGGCATCACTATACCCTTCAAGTAAGCAGGAAATACACTATATTTCAATCCAAAGTCCATTGTGCCTCTCAAATATTTCAATACTCTTGATATGGCAGTCCAATGTTCCTTATTAGGACTTTGAGTGTATTGGCTCAACCTCCCAACTGCGTAAGCACTATCAGGTTGGATACAATTCATCAAGTACATCAAACTACCAATGATTTGAGCATATTCAGAATGCGATACACTTTCTCCTTATTTTTCTTCAGTTGGGTATTGCATCATAAGGTGTAGAAAGAGGCTTACAATCATAGTATCCAAATTTCCTCAAAATCTTCTCAACGTAATGTTCTTGAGATAGACAAATGCCATCAGAATCTCTTGTAATTTTGATCCCAAGAATCACATCAGCTATACCCATGTCCTTCATATCAAAATTTGATGCTAAAAATGATTTGGTCTCTGTAACAATCTCAAGATTAGTTCCCATAATAAGCATAACGTCAACATATAAGCAGATAATTACACAAGAGTTACCAATAGATTTACAATATAAACACTTATTTGCATCATTGATCAGAACCCCATTAGAAAGCATGACTTTCTCAAACTTTTCATGCCACTGCTTGGGAGCCTATTTTAGACCATTCAAAGATTTTATAAGTTTGCATACCTTGCGTTCCTTACCTTCAACAACCTGCCCTTCTGGTTGATCCATATAGATCTCTTCTTCCAATTCACCATTTAGGAAAGCAGTTTTTACATCCATTTGATGAATAATTAATAAGATTATAGATGGACGCTAAAGCAATCAAGACTCTAATTGAGGCAATCCTTGTTACTAGAGCAAAGGTATCAAAATAATCTATTGATAAATCTATGGACAAACTACAGTAAACCCCCTAACCTATAGGGTCATTTACAAGTTCATACCCAATTTTGGGGACATTTATCAGTACATACTCAACGTCGTGGAAACCCTACAATTTGCCCCTTCCGTTAGCCAAACTGTTAGTGAGTCTATTAAATACTAACATGTCAAAATTGGGACTCATTTTTTGATGACGTGGACTTCCAAGTGGACGAAAAAACTAATAAAAAATTATGTACGTGTTAAAAATAATTTTTAAATCATATTAAAATCATTAAAAAATGAATTTAAAAATAATAATAAAAATCTCATCTCTCTTCTCCAACCCAGCCAACCACCCCCAACGACCTTGCCCACCCCTTCCCAGCCCCCTCTCCATCTCTACCCCACCCCCTCTACATCACAGCCATCATCTTGCCCAATTGCTTTTAATCCCTCCGTTTCGTTATTGTGCAAACCAAAGTTTGTGAATCTAACACTGAGAACCTCTTTGATTCTTCCAAAAAGATGAAACCCCAAGTACAGCTCAATCGAATTCCACTACCCAGATCCAAAATGAAGCATTTGAATGAGTATACAAAACACATCACAGAGTGCAAATGACTGGATTTCATCACAATTTTAAAGAAAAACCAATTGTTCTGTTTCATTCAACCAAAACATACACGCAAATCTACTTTCTTAGCATCCAAACAAAGTCAGAAAGCAAGAAAAGAAGGGCAACCCATGAAAACCCGTTACTTTCTGGGCAAGTTTTGCAAAACTTTGAGATCTGGGTTTGAGAGAATCCATGGTTTCTCAGAAGCCCCAAAATGGAGTTTGCATTTTCTAGGGACTACAACTTGATCCCATGAGATCTAGGTTTGAGAGAATCCATGGTTTCAAAGAAGCCCCAAAATGAAGTCTGCGTTTTTTGAGGACTGCAACTTGATCCCTCTGGAAGTTGAAATAGCATCTTCTGGCGACAACCATGGTTGAGGTCAACGACGATCAATTCGGAAAATTGTAAACCCCCAACCCAAGCGACGATCAATCCTTAATTGGGAGGCCGAGGAACGAAGATGGCGATCGTAAGGTCTCCGAGGGAAGCAAGAGGAAGAGGTAGTTGATGAGGATAGAGATCTTGTCCTTGGTTCTATCCAACGACAACGAGGTCAGTGGCGATGACTTTGAAGGCGTTGTGCACGGAGGGAGGGTGGGTCGATCGGGGTGTGGGAAGAGGCAAACAGTTTTGGGTGGGGTGGGGTGGGGTGGGGCTGGGAAGAGAAAGAGACGAAGAGAAATTGTTTTCTTTTGATTTTTGATTTTTAATTTAATTGAATAATATCATTTACTTGTTTATAATTATTTTTAAATAATATAGAATTTTTTTAGTATTTATTTGTCCACCTGTAAGTCCACCTCATTAAAAAAATGGAACCCACATTCGCCACGTCAGCATTTAACAAATTCACTAACAGTTTGGCTAACGGAGGGGGCAATTTGTAGGGTTTCCGCGATGTTGAGTATGTACTATAAATGTCCCCAAAATCGGATATGAACTCGTAAATGACCCTTTAGGTTAGGGGGTTTACGGTAGTTTGTCCTAAATATAAAGCAGTGCTTTATGTTTATCAATAGACTTATCAGATTTCAATTTCTTCTTGAAAATCCATTTGCACCCTAAAGTTTTAGCTCCTGGAGGTATATCCACTAATTCCAAAACATGGTTAGACATAATCGACTCTAATTCATTTTTAATGGCTTCTTTCCAAAAAGGTGCATCTGGTGCCGTTATAGCTTCACTATAGGTTTGTGGGTCATTGTCAACTAGGAAGGTGTAAAATCCATCTCCAAGATTAGTTTCTTTCCTTGCTCTTTTACTTCTCCTTAGTTCAACTTTTAAGTTATCATTACTTTCGGATTCTAACATTGAACCTGGCACAAGCTCTACGGTGACCTTCATTAGGAAAAAGCCCTCGAAGAAATCTGCATTTTTAGTTTCCACTATGGTATTCACTTCTATCACATTGTGATCACTTTTGACGACAAATAACCTGTAAGCTGCACTGTTTTGGCCATATCCAATAAACATAGCATCAAAGGTTTTGGGCCACAATTTTCTTTTCTTCGGTTCAGGCAAAAGGACCTTAGCCAAACACCCTCACACTTTCAGGTACTTTAGATTAGGTAAATGTCCTTTCCATAGCTCATAAGGGGATTTTCCAGTTTTCTTATAAGGTATCCTATTTTGTAGGTGACAAGCTGATAAGATAGCTTCGCCCCATAAGTTTAATGGTGCCCTTGAACTAACTAGCATCGCATTCATCATGTCTTTCAAAGTTCTATTTTTCCTTTTAGCTACTCCATTAGATTCAGGTGAATAAGGTGGGGTTACTTCATGTATTATGCCATGTTCTTCACAAAATGCACTAAAAGGGTTTGAATCATACTCTCCTCATCTATCAGTTCTTAACCCTTTTATCTTTTTATTCAATTGGTTTTCTACCTCGGCTTTATACTTTATGAACATTTCTCCAGCCTCATCTTTGTTTCTACGTAGATAAACCTTTGTGTACCTTGAATATTCATCAATAAGAGTTATGTAATATCTTTTTCCACCTCTAGCCATAGTTCGTTTCAAATCACCAAGGTCACTATGTATCAAACCAAGTAGTTCGAATCCTCTTTGTACAGGCTTACATGTCTTTTTAGTTGTCTTAGATTCAGTACACACATTGCATTTTTTATCTTATGAATATGTGGGAAAAGATAGCAATCCTACATCTTTCATTTTCTTAATGTATGTGAAGTTCACGTGACCAAGTCTACCATGCCATAAATCAACAGAGTCAACCAAATAAGCAAAAGATGTTGATGCATTTCCATTAATAACTTCAGAAACATTCAGTACAAATAACCCTTGGTTGCAATATCCTTTCCCCACAAACAACCCATTTTTAGTCAAAACAATCATGTCAGATTCGGATACGATTTTAACCCCCACTTTTTCAAGTAAAGCAACAAAGACAAGATTATAACAAATATCTGGCACATGGAGTACGTCATTAATAGATAAAGTTTTACCAGAGATAAGTTTGAGAAGAACCTTTCCTTTTCTAGCAATTGATGAGCGCCCTGAGTCACCCCATGAAAACATGTTCTTCTCCATCTCTAAGTGGGGTGTAAGATGTGAACGCGTTCCTATTTCCATATATATGTCTAGTAGCTCCAGAGTCTACCACCCAGTCTTTAGCATTGGTCCCCATATTTATCTCAGAGATGACCGCAACGATGATATCATCTGCTTTGATCATGTTTGCTCTAGCTGGAATGTCATCTCTCCTCCTATGCCTGCATTCATGTGCATGGTGCCCAGGTTTTCCACATACAAAGCAACTTCCCTTCTTCTTGAAGTTTGATTGATTGTTGGTTGACCTTAACTTGTTCTCATGCTTGGGTTGTGATCTGTTGTCATGCTTAGCGTTAGAAAATTTAGATTTATTGTAATGCTTGGAAGATTTAGCTTCGATGACATTGGCTTTGGAAGAAATTTCTTTGGCTCTGATGACTTTGTCTTGCATACGATTCTTTTCTTCTATTCGGATGTGCACAATTAAGTCTTCAAAGCTCATTTCCTTCCTTTTGTGCCTCATGTTGTTCTTGTAGTCCTTTCATGATTCAGGAAGTTTTCAATGAGACTTCCACACACAAATGTTTCAGGTAGATCAACGTCCTCATTTTTCAATTCGTTGACAAGCTTGGGGTACTCATGAATTTGTAATGACACATCTTCGCTCTCCACCATTTGGAATTGCAGGAAATTTCCAATTGCATATTTTTGGGTGCCATCATCTTCGATCACATACTTTTTGTTCAAATTATCCCAAATCTCTTTTGTGGTTTTGTATGAACAATATATATCAAACAACTCGTTAGAAAGTGTGCTCAAAATTGTGTGACTACATATTTTGCTACCTTTCTCCCATTGTACTAGTGCTTTATTGTAGTTGTCGATTCCTTTTGTTGGCTTGAGTTTGGTAAGGTAGGTGGAGAGATTGAGAACATCAAGGGTGGAAAACACTTGTTCTTGCCAGCGTTTAAAGAAAGCTCCATTGAAGGTATCGATCCTGGAAACATCATGATGGCATCCATGGATCTACTCTTAAGATTGTTGGGAAAATATTGGTTGTGGATGCTCTCCTTTGATCACAAACAGTAGGTTGAGGTGTGTAAGTGACACGACTCGCCCCAAATTCCTCAAAATTTAGGACGAATCCAGTGGTATTTCTAGCATCAATCCGATGACAGGCCCACTTGCTAAAACACGAGACTTTCTGTCGAAATTTCGGCAAACTCTCCCCTGAAAAATGGACATTTCGCAATTTTCACAACCTGTTGAAAACACAAATAATATCACAACTGGCAACATGCATCAGATACAATTAAACAGTTTACAACAAAGGCCTCCGGCCTCACAAATCAAACCCTAACAGGGCGATAACAGAGCATATCTAACTGAGTTCATATTACAAACATAAAACAAAGTTCAACGAAAATAAGATAAATAAAAAAGCCCTACGGAGGCTCAGAGTTCGAAGGTAGAGATCTCAGCTCGGTAGCTCGATTCGAATATAGCTACTGCCAGGGAGCGCAAAACAGAAAGTGTAAGTGGACAAAAACAAAGTTTAGTCATTGACTCATTGCTGAGAGAATTATCTCATATGAAAATGGAAGTATATTAAGCTCCTTTATACTTACAGAGTTAAGGTTGAAATTAGAGCTCTATGTATGCAAAACATTACACTGGTACAAGATTTCGTTTGAGGATTTCCTTTCCTGTAATTCCATCTTTCAAAAATAATACTTCAGCCAAGAATAATCTCAACTCCTACAAAAATCACAAGCAGATAAAGAAGAATGATATCAACATATATTCCTATTAAATTACAGTAACATATCAATATAACACCAAAAAAACTTCAATATAACAGCAATACCACAGCAATACAAAAGCAATACCACTACACTACAACAGCAATAAAACCACAATACAGTTGCAATATCAAATCAACAATGCTACATTACTATGATATAATCATAACAAGTTCATATGTGTCGTTACAGAAAATCCCAACTCCAAATGCAAGAATCAATTGACAAAGAAGAAACACATTTGTTGTTTTAGACAAACAAAATCAATCTTAATACTTCACCTTCTACACAAAATACAGACGAAATAAATCACAATTCCAATTTCAGTAATCAAAGTCAATTTAACATCAAAACTTACATATTCCCAACAATTCATTTTTTGGAGAAGCTGTTCTTGAAGAGGGCATGTAAACCCTGACTTCAAAACCCCCCAAAATTGAACCAAAATGCTCAAACAATTGCCCACCTAATGCTAAGACACGCTGTCATATTCAAAATAGATGGTTTTGTTTGGGTTTGTTTAGGTTGCAGAAGGGATTCGAAGAGAGACGAAGTTGGGGTTTGGATTTGGGGAGAGGAGAAAACAGGGAGGAGGAGGAAGAGGAAGAATTGGGTATTGAGGGTAAAGCTCTGGGTTTTTTAGGTTGTTCTTGATCTTCTTCTTCATGAGAAGAGGCGTAGTTAGCTAGATGGAGAGAGAGAGAGAGAGAGAGAGAGAGAGAGAGAGAGAGATAGAGAGCGTTGAGAGAGGAAGAGAGAACTATGAGAGAGAGAGAGAGAGAGAGAAATAGCGAAGAGAGAGCTGAGAGAGAAAACAAAAACTGAACAAAAGTGTTATGTGGCCGATAAATGGGCAATAGGTATGTATTTATAGGCTATATTTGCAAAATGTGTGGGTAAAGTTGGTACTTTCATATAAAGTTTGGAAAGCAATGGCATTAAGCGTTATGTCCCTAAATTCAAATACCATTTTCCTTTCGGTCTGACTCATGCATAGATACAATCACCAAAACTTGCAACACATGATCATGAACACTTCAATGGAGAAATTGATGGTAGGGAGCTTGGGCACGGATTTGAGTAGTTTAGATCATTAAAAAAAAATTAAAAAAAATACTTGCGTACAGCTACTATTTCGGCTATACTATTAATAAATAAAAAAAGACCCGCCTAGCGCCTGTAGGACCACGTCTAAAAACCAGTATAGCCGTGCGGCTATACTTTTTTTCTTGTAAAAAATGCCTGAGCATAGCCAATCGGCTATACTATGACCCAACTAGCGCCCGAGCGCCCACGTGTGAAAACAAGTATAGCCGCGCCGATATACCTTTTTTTTTTCAAAATTCCCGGGTATAGCTGTACGGCGACACAGTTTTGGAAAATGCGTGAGCAGAGTATAACCATGCGGCTACACTATTTGCTATTAAAGAAATGTCATACTCTTCCTTCAAAATTATAGAAGGCCATATGAGTCCACGAATATGGCAAATCACAAAATTGCACTCTCACCACACACACGTAGGAAGCATATGGCTGCACATACGAGCGAGAGAGAGAGAGAGAGAGAGAGAGAGAGAGTGAGTGAGAGGGGAGTTTTATGCAAAGTATGAGAGGGTCGGGAGGAGGGATGGTTATGCGCTGGGTTTTGGGTGTGCGGAGGAGGCTGCTGCGCAGTAAGGGTTTAAAGATGTTAGAAGGCGCGGCAAGAAATGAGAAGAAAATCTGTAAACACATATTAATTATCTCTCTCTTTCTCTCTCTCTCTCTCTCTCTCTCTCATTGCAGGTGTATATACTCGTAGCAGATGAAAAGCAGAGGCTTCTAGATTACGAAAAATCCATAGTCTGCATTACGAAAAATTGGCCTAGGCAGCCTGGGCGGGTCTTGGCGACGCTAGAACGGTCTGGGCGACACTAGGCGGGTCTGGGCAGCGCTAGGCGGAGCTAGGCGGATCTAGGCGGTGCTAGCCGGTCTAGGCGGGTCTAGGCGGCGCTAGGCGGATCTGGTTGCCAGGGTGGGTCTGGTTCTGTTCTTTTGTTCTTTAAGCCCATTATCAAGCATACGATCATATCTAAAGGAGCCTATTACTCCCAGGTTTCACGTTCTTTTCATTTTGTTGGATTCTCTTCTTATGACTAAACATAATTGATCTGCTAGGCTGCTAGGCGGTAGCTAGGCGGGCGCCTAGGCGGGTTGGGTCTTTTTTTGTTGCCGAACCTGGAGGACGAAGCAGCCGAAACCAAAGAAAACAAATCGAAATGTTTGGCTAACTGAATTGGTTCAAGATTCTCTTCAGGGTTTCAACATTGAAACAATAGAGAATTTCATGCTTTTAAATAGGAATTAATATGGTTTGTTAATTTCTTTAAAGATTTCTTGTGAATGTAGGACATAATTAGTGGTATTACAGTTGCTAACATCACAGTTTATGCATAAAGTTTTATCCCTTGACCACTGAATGATATTCACAGAAAGAATTTTCTTATTTGATAATTTTTGGGAGTCTTATGTATGCACGAGTTTGTAATAGGCCAGACTTGGCATTTGTCATCAGTGTGTTAAGTAACTTCCGCTCATTGGAATGCAGTAAAGAGAGTGTTTTAGGTATCTGTAAAAGGCGAAGAGTAACATGCTGGTTTAAAAGAGAACTAAAGATTTTTGCAGGATGTCCTGAAGTACGTCGACCTCTAGTAATGTATTCTTGTTGGATGAAGGGGCAGTTTATTGAAAGGGAGTCAAGGAAGCAACAGTTGCAGTTTTATTGTAATAATACAAGAGCAGTTTTATTCTAAAGAAATAATAAAAGATCTGTAGGTACCAATCATTTTCTTGATTAGATTTTTCACTTGAGGTGGTGTAATACAAGAACCATCAATGGATGAATATTGAATGCATAAAGATTAATCAAGTTTCACGCGGAATTGGCAGAGTGGAGGAATTTTCATCGTTGTCGTTGGTGTGGTGAGGTGAACATGTCGTTTGGGATAGAGCCAAGAGAGAAGAGAATAAGGCGGGAAGCATGGAGAGGAATGGAATTAGAGGCATGAGATCTCTTCTTCTATGGAACTGACTTGTGCTTCCCAATTTCAATCTCAAGCTCAAATTTGCAGCAAAAATTTTTCAATTTCGGGTTTCAGACTTTCAGTCAATTGCAGTGTTTGAAAAATCGGCCTAGGCGGTTAGGCAGGTTGACTCATTTTTTGGTACTGAACCTGAAGGACGAAGCAACTGAAACCGAGGGAAACAAATCGAAGGTTGAGTTGATAGAGAGGCGAAATGGCTGTGACTGCAAGAGCAAGCTTAGTGTTCGTGACTAATATATTGAAAGCGTATAGCCGGGCGGCTATACTTCTAGAATATTCTAATACACAAATATTTAAAGATAGTAGCCGAACGGCTATACACGGTGGCTATGCTCTTTAACTATACAATTTTGTCATATCATTTAAGGGTTTAAGGCTCAAATACCACTTTAGCCCACTGGGCTACAGTTATTTCTTCAATTATTTTATTTATATAAGCAACGTTGGGGAATGAGAATTTAAATTCTTTCCGATACATTCCATTCAAATCTGTAAAATGTTGCTACTGGGGTGTGGATGAGGATGAGGGTGAGCTAGCCATCAGAAGGGAATCTGCACAGTTCAATTCCCCAAGTCTTCTCTGCGTAGTCTTGGATTGTTCTGTCGCTGCTAAATATCCCTGACCCGGCTGTGCAAAGGATGCTCATCTGAGTCCACTTATTTGGATCCACAAATGCTTTATCAACAGCAGCCTGTAGTCATATAGATTCAAATCCCATGCACCATAGTAAGTTATACAATACCATACTTCCAACTGCATATATATGCTTTGGGTTGGGACTGCCAAGTA